GAGGGGGGTGAGAGGCAAAGAGGCTGACAGCGGTGGCTCAGCAAAGCCCGCTGGAAATGGGACCCCAGTGCGTGGGCAGAGCCTTCCTTCCTCCGGGAAAATGGCAACGTTCGGGTGGTGAGGTCAGCTAGTGAAAGCAGAAGGCAAAGGTTGTCAAATTCCTTGTAGTTGCTGCGCACATAGAGAAAAGAGAGCTAGTGATTAACACCTGAATGCTCTGTGGGTGGAAGGAAACTGAGCGCCAACGTGTGGGCCGAGGGGACTCCCAGTGTATTTTCCAAGAACAGCTCAGCTAACCAAGTGAATAGAATGCGGAAACTTTTTAAAAAGTATCCCCGCAGCCTCCCAAAAAAGAGCAACACCAAACTACGATAGAATACAGTTGCACAGCCCGCAGGAGACTTTATGGTACCTCGAGGACCTTGTTGTCCCACACCTCGCAGCTCCTAGCAACCTTTCTTTAGAGACCATCAACTAAGTTATTACAATCATGCACCCACCAGCCTAGGGTCTTCAGCTCCTTCTGTGACCTGTCAGAAAGAGTTCTTTCGCTGGAGACAGTGTTACGGGCTGGCGGATTGGGGGTGGGGTTCCTACTGAATGCTTCAGGAACTGGAAGGTGCTGTCTCTACCACCCTGTTGAAATGATGGTGACCTTTCCAAAACATTATTTTTTTTTTTTTTTTTTACAAGGGATGGTTCTACAATAGACCTAAGCCTATGATTTTTTTTTTTATCAAGGCGCTCAATCAGTGGCCTAAATACACAATCTTGGCTAGAAGCCAGAGTAAACAGACAAGGGGTGTTCTCAAGGGAAAAACTAGAAATGACTGCTTTAAGAAACGCAAACTGTTGCGAGTTTGTTTTTGGTTTTGTTTGTCTGTTGAAAATCAAAGCGTCTCCGAGAGTCTCCAGGATAAGTTGTTCTCACTTCCTAAAAGCCAGACCCTGAGCTGGGCTTGGCTACACTCGAGAAACCTGAAAGGCAAACGCTAGGCCACAGTCGGAGGGCAACCTTTGCTGACCCTATTGTCAGGCCTCAGCCGGCCCAGGCGAGCCCAAATACCGCCCACCCCACCCCACTCTCCAACTTTCCATCCCCCAAACGGCACAGACACACATCCGTCCCAAACCACCTAGCACGCAGAGGACACCTCTTCTTTCTTCTTCTTCTTTTTTTTTTTTTTTTGAGACGGAGTCTCTCGATCTTGTCGCCCAGGCTGGAGTGCAGTGGCGCAATCTCGGCTCACTGCAACCTCCGCCTCCCGGGTTCAAGGGATTCTCCTGCCTCAGCCTCCTGAGTAGCTGGGATTACAGGCGCTCGCCACCACGCCAGGCTAATTTTTGTACTTTTAGTAGAGACGGGGTTTCGCCATGTAGGCCAGTCTGGTCTCGAGCTCCTGACCTCAGGTAATCCTCTCGCCTCGGTCTCCCAAAGTGCTGGGATTACAGGCGTGAGCCACCGCGCCCGGTCGAGGGCACCTCTTCTAATAAGTTGGGTCCCAATCACGCCAGGGACCTCGAAAAAGGTCCCCTATGAGCAGTTACTGAAGAGGAATCGATGCAGACGCCTCCGCGCGGTCGTGGGACAGCTCCTTTCCTGCTCTTTCTACCAGTAGCTCTAAGGCACAATTGCTGAGGGTTCTTTGCAGATATAAGGCACTTGGGACACACCTGATGTCGGCCAAACCTAGAAACAGGAAGAAGGCAGAGCAGGGTGCCCTATGTACCCAAAGCCCACTGGCCCAGTCACGCTAGACTCTTGGTCCCGGAGTTTTGCTATAACCCGCCATCTAAGCATAGGCATCACATCTGCTCCGCCGCAAAGCCGCTTGGTCTCTTTCGAAGGTTGGGGCGACCTCCAAGCCCCGGAGGGCGAAACGACAAGAGGCTACGCTGGGTGAAGTTTCCAACGGAAGCCAACAAACGGCGCTATTGTCGCGCCCTGGGTTCTGGGAGCCCCAGGGCTGGATCCAGTCGGAGGGAGCGGGAGCTCTCTAGGGAGGGCGGGGGAATGGGGAGGGGGCCTTGGTAGGGTTCCCAGCCCCAGATCCGGAGCTCTGTGAGCGGCCCAAGGGCACTTGGAGGCAGGAGAGGGCAAGAGAGCTGCTGAGCGCGCTCTCTTCTCCTGAAGAGGTTGAAGGATCGGTCCTGGTTCCCGCTGCTTTCCTCGCTGGGTGCAGGGTGCGCGTTGGAGACACTGGAGTTGGGGCTCCGCCAGCTGCCTTGCCTTCCCGCAGCCCCGGCCGGAACCGAGGCCTCCTGCACTGTGGTACCTGTCGCAACAACCTCTCCCGATCCTCAGCGAAGGTTGCGCCGCTGGGCTGGTGCCTAAGCCTGCGCTGCAGGTGGGCTAAGAACTGATTTATTTCCAGCCTTCCCTCATCTCCCCACGCCCGCAATGGTAACCTTGCTTGTCTATTGAAATAATAGTTTGTATTTAGAAAGCGTCCTCCCAAGAGTTTCCAAGGGAATCTGGCGTGGCTCTTACTTGAGAATGTGCAGATCACCCCAGAACCACCAGATACGGAGATTTTATGTATCTACCCCCCGAGAGGGAGCTGGCCTCAGCGAGAAGTCGGGAGAATTTGGAGAGTGTGCCTGGTCCTGGCAAAAGACTGCTGTAAATCTGGCAGGAGGATGTAGGGCAAAAATGAGCTCACGTAAGCCTCGTGCTAAGTGTGATCAAATGTCAGACAGCTGGGAGCAGTGACTAGTTTCCCCTGTTAATTTGCTGCGGGGAGGGTATCGGCCCAGCACCGTATCCCCTGCCTTGGGAAATATGCAGCCCAGGCGCTGTCACCGCAACGTTTACTTGGGTCCTAAAACTTGGAAAGAAACCTGACATCTGTCAAGCTACTGGACGCCAGGCCGCGCGTCGGTTGGGTAGTTTCCTAAAACTCGCTTCACTTAGCAACAGCCTCCAGGGCCCAGAAAAGCCCAGAGAGGGCATGCGGGGAAGACGGCAGGAGGGCAGGGATATTGCACATTGGCTTCTGTAGGAGAGGATGGATTTGCCTAAGAAAGTTTGACCTTGTCGGCCACTTCGCCAAGAAAACAGGTGCAGGTAGGGATTGCCTAATCATTATGTTTTCTGAGACGTACTTTTCAGCCCATGTTCGCTAAGCGCGCGCGCGGGGGCGCGCGCACACACACACACAAACTATATCCACATACAGAAACCTTCCAGAGAGTTTACTTAAATTTAAAACCCTAAATCCGTATGCCCATCCAGTTGATCGCAGCCCTTGGCTGCGGAATATTCAGATCAGGTGGAACACAAACTTAAGGGGCAAGTTTCCAGATCCCACACTTCCGGGAGATGATGCCGGCTCAGAGCTGGGATTCTTTTGCCTGCGGTCCGCCTGGCCGAGAGGGGGCTGGCCTGCTCTGCGCCTCCACTTCCCCCCGACCCCACTAACAAGCCGAGGAGGCGTACGTTTTAATTCGTGGGGGAGAGAAAGGCGGATGAGCCCAGCATGCAGAAGTCCGGGGATCGCGTGGTCTCATTAACGCTAAGAAGCTAGAAACCTGGGACTCCCCCGCGTACCCCAAACCACTTAAGATTATGCTTTCCGTTTAGTTCCCCACCTTTCCACGCGACTGGGGATGGTGGGGGAGCGAGACCCCACACCGTATGGACACCTTATTTTAGTTTCTGCCAAATCTGCCGGGATGGCTTCTCATTCCCGCTCGCTACCTCGGGCTGCTCGGAGAGTTTCAAACGCTGTGCCACTCGCTTCAGCTGGCGGTGGCGATTATCGGAGTTTCCTCTCCCCGCAGCCAGAGTTCCCGCGCCGCTTGTCTTTGGCAGATAACCCAACAAGCAAGTGAATGTCCCGCTCCGAATCTCAGGAAGTCTCTAAAACAATAAAAGAGATGGACGGAATCCGTTAGCAGAGCCTGCTCCCGGGGGAGGCGGCGCGGCTGCGCGCCCAGAGTAGCGCTCAGCGGTCCCGGCAGGTGCGGGGGCAGTGGAGGGGGCCCGGCGGTTCGCCCGGAGAACGGCCTCGGCTCCGCTCCGGCCAACGTCGCCCCCCCCCCCAAGAAACTTTTCTTTCACTCTGAGAGGCTCCGTGTTGCCATGAAAACGGATTTTCCAAGGGGCCCGACCCTCCCCCTCAGGGGCATCGGACTGGAAAAACCGAAATGGCCAGAGAGCAGAGACAAAAAGGGGCCGCTAAGCGGGGGCCAGGAGCGAGAGAGCGGAGGCCAGTTCACCCCCTACGTCCCACACATACTCTCCACACCACCTTGTGCGAGCGCCTCCGCCAGGCTCAGGAGACGGGCGACTGACTGCTTGCCCGCCCTCCCGCAAACCCCCAAGAGCCTCACAACCGAGTGCACCCTGCAGTCCTGAAGCCTGTCTCCCATGCCCAGGCCCCTGACCCACGCTCCGTCCTGGACGCACTGGCCCTCCTAGAGAAAGGTCTGGACAACCAGCGGCCAGTTTCAGGGAGAGCTTCTTGGAGACGCAGCCAGGAGCACTTCCAATGAGCCTGGAGTCCCTAAGCCGGCCTGGGTAGCTGGTGGTGCCCTGTGTTCCTAGCGCTGGCAGCAGAAGCGGCCAGAAAACCTCCGTGCAGACAACGGGAAGCTTTGCAGGCTGGCCAGGGGATGGGGCGCCGGTCGGCCTTGACAGGGTTGCAAAGTTGTTTTCTAAATTCCGAAGGCGCCCCTCTGCCCCCTCCCCCCAATCTGCTCGCGTGCCCCCTCCCCCCGCCCCCGTCACCTCCTCAGGTTTCGTTCTTTCAAACTTTTTGAAACCCTAATTGGTGGCCTCTGAGTGGGTCTCGTGGACTCCCGCCTCCTAAGTAACTCTTACCACGTCACTAGGCCAAAGAGGGGAGTGGGGTGAACGAAAGGGCTCCCCGAACTTTTTTTTTTCCAGCCAGGCCGAACGGGGGCTCGGTAATGATTGGCCAGGGCGCATCACTGCGAACCTGTCAATCACGGGTCCTCCGAGTGGCGAGGGGCGGACCAAACGCCAACCCCGGGGGATCCGAGCAGGTATATAAGGGGCCCGGCTAGAGCCCAGCCAGACTGTGAATGCGACCTGCTCGAGACAACGCATCAGGTGCGAGAAGCCCGCGGGTTCCTGCTGACTTGGCGCGGAGCATTTTGATAAACCTACCCTTCCCGCCGGACTCGCTGGCCCACAGGCCCCCAAGCTCCGCTCCGACGGAATCCCAGGGCCGTTTCACCGTGGCCGCTCCAGCCCCGGGAGCGCCTTCTCCTCCCGCTACGCTGGCGCACCTTCTTCCCGCCCCGGCAATGTACAGCCTTCTGGAGACTGAACTCAAGAACCCCGTAGGGACACCCACACAAGCGGCGGGCACCGGCGGCCCCGCAGCCCCGGGAGGCGCAGGCAAGAGTAGCGCGAACGCAGCCGGCGGGGCGAACGCAGGCGGCGGCAGCAGCGGTGGTTCGAGCGGCGGTGGCGGGGGCACAGACCAGGACCGTGTGAAGAGGCCCATGAACGCCTTCATGGTATGGTCCCGCGGGCAGCGGCGCAAAATGGCCCTGGAGAACCCCAAGATGCACAATTCTGAGATCAGCAAGCGCTTGGGCGCCGACTGGAAACTACTGACCGACGCCGAGAAGCGACCATTCATCGACGAGGCCAAGAGACTTCGCGCCGTGCACATGAAGGAGTATCCGGACTACAAGTACCGACCGCGCCGCAAGACCAAGACGCTGCTCAAGAAAGATAAGTACTCCCTGCCCAGTGGCCTGCTGCCCCCCGGTGCCGCCGCCGCCGCCGCCGCTGCTG